CCTGACTCATGGTTGTATTTTATGTGTGTGCATGTGTACCTGTAGGTATATAATATTGCATCATGTTCTACCATGCATCCCTTAATACATATATGATGTATTTGATATGTATTTGTGTGTGCGCGCATGTTGCAGCTAGATAGAAGTGTAGTACATGCATCCACATGCATCTATGTTTCTACATATATATAGAAGGTCATCCCCAGATTTGAGGTCTCTTTCTCACAAATACGCATGTGTTCTTTGTGCAATACTGTTGATTAATAGCAACCGCCCAATGCTTAATAATAGTGACTTGTAAACCCTACAAGTCCACTGTCCACTACTACCTTATCCATCAAAATTGACTGTCAACATATATTGTTTGTGGACATCACTATTCCTACACGAAGATTGTCCAAGCAATGCTAGCCAGGGTAATGCTTAGTAGGGCCATATATTCTGTTTAATTAAGATCGACGAGAAGTCCATTTTTTGCTACTTCTATGAAAGTTGGCATTTGGGAACTTCAAAGTAGGGTTCCCAATTTAGGTACGCGACCAAAAAGTTGCTTTGTTCGTCATCGTTTCCGTCACCGTTTAAAGCTTGGGTATGGACCATGGGATGCCAATATACTGTTGTGGGTTCTTTTTCTTTAGGGCTTTGATTGTGGGCCGACATGGAATGTCACTGTCCAACATAATTACGCGACTTGTTCCATTAAAAGTTGCCTTGTTCTGCATATACCAGTTTTGAAAAAGCCGTTACTCTTTCTTACGAAACATCGTTGTGGTGATAGAATTGACACGAACAGCAAAAGATATCCATAAAACAATGGGTTCCAGAGTATTGATGATAGTGTCGTGACTCCTATCATTATGGATTATGGGGTGGGCATTTTAGTGGATCAATCGATCAATCCAATGGAAACGAGTTAGGTTGAGTTGAGTTCTAAATTAAAAAAAAAAACTCATGTAAAATCTTGATACTCCCATTCACTAGGTAGATTGAGTTGGAGTAGGACTGGGCACGGGCTAGGCTCAAATTTGAAGGGACCGAACTGGACGCGTTTTAAAAGGCAATGGGGCGGGTAATTGAATTTTGGAATTTGAACTGGACCTAATCTAGCTGGTTGAAAACAGGCTGGTTCGGATCGAGTCCACAAATGGGAATAACGTCGTTGAAGTTGATGATTTTTTTTTCTGAGACAGGTCTCTCTCCGCTTTCAAGCTCAGAGCATTTCCTCTTTGACAACATCATCAAAAACCACCGTTGATTCCTCTGTCAAGTCTGGTCCATAGGTAAAAAACCACACATTCCTCTTCAAGTTGAGTCCATAGGTCCAAAAACCCACCTTTAACACCATCTTCTCCGAAACCGTTGCTGGAAAACACGTCTCTCACTCTATCTTCGTCAATCTGGAGCCCACCGTCATCGACGAGGTTTGCTATCGTCGTAGTGCCATCATCGTCCATCTTCGATCTTTGATATCCCTCAGGTCCCTTAGAGCATCCCCAATTTGGAGCCTCGTGTCATCGTCGATGCCATCTTCGACAGCCAGAGTTGAGAGATAGAGACATCGAGTTAGGGTTGGGAGAGATGAGCGAGAGAGATGGGGACAAAGGATGAGCTTGATTGGTTGCACGCTACGTGCTGCAAGTCTAAGATTGAGATTCAGAGAGAGTGAGTGTTGTAACTTGTGATGGTGTCACATCTCAGCTTGAGTGTTGTGACTTGTGATAGTGTCACATCCTAGCTTAACTTCACCGTAGCACAATATTGTCCGCTCTGGGCTTACCATTCCCTCACGGTTTTGTTTATGGGTTTCAGCACGAGAACTTCCCAAGGGGATCACCCATCCCAGGACTGCTTTCGCCCAAACTCACTTAACTTCGGAGTTCTTATAGGATCCGGAACCAGTGAGTTCCCAAAATACCTCGTGCTATAGGGAGGGGAGCATGTACATATAAGACACATCACCCCTTCTCTGTTGGTCGATGTGGGATCTTACAGATAGGGTTGGGAATCAACGATGTTGATTTGAGTGATATTAAATCAAAGGTGGAAACGGTCAGGGGCGGAGGCATGTTTTCTCAAAATTTTGGACCCGCCCTACCCTGCTAATTTCATGAACCCGCCCCATCCCGTCCCGTTTTTTATTTAGAATTTTTGGACCCCGCCCCGAACCACTTGGACTCTCCCCAACTTGCAGGCCCATTTGCCCACTCCTAAATTGGAGCAATATTATTACCTCAATTGAAATTGACCCACTTGCATGTCAACAATTCCAAAACATGAATACATGAAGCTCTAGTGATGTTAACCTTTTAGTTTAACGAGTTTAAAGGGGTTGAAACAGTTACCTGCGAGTAGACTTTATTCACTCGTTAAGCCGCCACTGATCTGAAATGTGACCTTTTTGTGTCAGATGATCAAGTCATGCATGATGTTGTCACGTCTACCACACCATGTCCCTGTCACGCCACCACATGATAGAGTTTCACGATTTTGTTATACAGGAGTTCCCAACCAAAAACTATGCAAGCCTTGGAAGGTATGCCCAAGCTGAAGACAAGTAAACCAAAAGCCCAAAATATCAAAACCATTAAATATGCAGCCTCACGTCAGAATCAACCATCACTGCAGTTTGAGCATATTTCAATATAATTAAACAGAGATGTGTGAGATAAAAAATGTGTGTGTTATTTCTCCAAGAAAAACAGGTAAAAAAACAATCTACCTCCATGATGGTTCAATCTCAAGGGTAAAGTTTGTCCCAGTGTGTGGAATTGTACAACACTTATATGGTTAGATGCCTTTATTAGGTAGAACATAAATACCTTTTCTAAAATTAAAGAAGGAATGCCTCTAGACTACACTTGTTTAGCGAAATTTTCTAGTAATATGTCTTCATTAGTTCTATATTCTATTTTTTATTAAAAATGATATTTTACACTAATTTATATTAAAAAAAAGAGGAAATTATTTGAAATTAGAACACAATGAGTTAAAAGAAAAATCTTAACCACGAAAGCAATTCACCACAACCAACATGATTCTATTAGTTAGATGATCGAGTTTCAATTTTCCATGCTATCAAGGTGGTTATCACACAATAATGTATATAATTTAGCCCTATGTGCTCACCATTAAGTTTCACGCATTTATATGGGCTTCACGTGTTTTCACGGGCCCACACAAATAGGCTTCTTATTTGTTTATTTCTTTTCCCTCTCTTTCAAACATCTTGTATGTAATTTATGACATATTTACTTACCAGGAATGATAATTAGAATTATTTTGATTCTTGAGTTTTTCGTATTTACTAAAATATAGATATGCAAATCCTTTAACATAATTTAAGGCATATTTACTTACCAGAAATAATAATTAGAATTATTTTGATTCTTGAGTTTTTCGCATTTACTAAAATATAGATATGCAAATCCTTTAACTGAAGTAAATGCAAAAAACTCAAGAATCAAAATAATTTACAATTTTTAGTTTTTATTTTTTTAAATGAATCGATACCAAAGAGGGTTTAAAAAGTTCGGCTAAGTCACTGCAATGTGTTAGTAATAATTTAGTATTAAACTTGCCAAGAATCTGAACTTCAAATCTCTCACTTAATTACAAATAGAGATGACTACTACTAGACTGATATATAGTAACAATAGTATATAAGAATTGAGATAATAAACAGACATAACTTATATAATTCAAAGATAAAAACACAATAACCAGTGAAGATCATATTTATCTTGTTTACAAGATATGTACACGAACCCATAAACACCAACAGTCTAATGATAGTCTTATATAAAGTTACCAGAAGAAATATGGATAAATATATACGCGTATTATTCGACAATTTTTTAAAATAATGCAGTAAAATCCAGCTATATATAAAGTTTTAGTATTTATTTATTTACTTTTTAACTTATAAGTAAGAGATTTTAAAATTGATTCTCGTTAACAGCTGATTTGATATAAGTTATGGGCAATATAGTAAATTAAACACAAAATAATTTTACTGTTTTTTTCAAAGCATCATAGTCAGATAACCATATCAGCTGCCCCCATTTTCTCTTCTTTGTTTTTTTTTTTTCCTCAAATAAAACAAATCTTTAATACGAGATAATTATGCAGAAACAGTCACTAAAAATATGCACAACCTCTTCAACAACAAAAAATTGTCTAAAGGTTGTTACCAAAAAGCTTTGGCAATTATTTTATATTTTTCTCTTTGTAAGTTTTATTTTCACAATTTTAATAAGCAACCCTGCATAACATGTGTATAATTAACCAAGAGAAAGTTTAATATGATTCAAAATCTATAAGTTTAATTAAGCTATGGGGTTTATGAATCAATATTTAATAATGTGATTGGTTCGGTGATTTTGGTCCCACTCTGCTTGCATAATGTCCGCTAACCATTTTCTTTCTTCTCAATAATTGAGCTTTTTTATCCGTATGTGTCACAAATAATTGAGTTACTGAGTAGTCTGAGTTGTGGCAAAAATATAACAATACGTACGTCCGTCTCAAGTATGTCTATACTGTTATTTTAATTAACGGATCCTGAGGATTTGAACTTAATTTTTTTTTTAGCAAACGATAGTATCTACACTAAAGGGGTGCGATAGTGGGTTAAATCTCATAATGTGCTAGTAATAATGTGTTTAAATTCGCCTTTAGTGAAAATCAAACTTAAAACTTCTCACTTATAAGTAAAGAGGAATAACACTAACTTGTGGTATTAATTGACAAAACAACATTTTGACAAGCTTTTATTACCTCTGTATATAATAACACTGTGTTTGCATAAAGAAATTTAATATTATCAAGAAGGTTCAAAATAATAGAAGAAAAAAATGACGGAATTTTGGAAGATATATTCAATGGGAAGCATGCAAAAGTCATTAAGGGTGCGTTTGTTGCACCGAACTATTTCTGACTGGATTAGCTTTAGGAACTATGTTGGATTGGCTTGGCATGGATTAAACAGTACTAGAATTGTGAAACGTTTAGTATAGTACCAGACTAATTAGGACTAAATTTTTATTTTTAATTACTAGTTATGAAAACTTCTAATTGAACTCACGAACTTCCAAACTAACAATCATACTTATTTCAGAAAACCCACGTCACACTTATTTCAAAGAACCCATGTCCTAAAATTAATCAACATTTCAGACACCAAAAAATCAAACTTGTTGCCTGCATCCATGAAATGGCAGAACAAGATGAATCAGGAAGGTCCATGAAATGGCAGAACAAGATGAATCAGGAAGATAACTAAGTTTAAATACCATCTCCGTCATCTTCTAAATTCAATGAATTAAAAAATAAATAAATTCTTTTTGGTCTTTATTTTTTTTTCTCTTAACTTGTTGCCTGTAGATCCATGAAATGGCAGAAAGATGAATCAGGAAGAATCCCCAATTTGCACGATGAATCTCCCTTCTCTCGCTGCAAGACGAATCCCTAATTTGCAAGACGAACACCTCTCTCAGCGGCAAGATGAATCCCCAATTTCTCTAATATAAAAAGTCATACAGAAGAAGATGACGGAGATTACGAAGCAGCCAAGACGGAAATGACCCAGTCGACGAGGAGGCAAGCCTAAGCCAAAACCAAATCAGCATATTCAAAGCCACAGCCATGGCGCTTGTGAAGCAGCGAAGGATAAGAAGATGACGGAGATGACCCAGTCGACGAGGTCATCGTCGAAGATGAAGCGATCGACGAGTTCATCGTGGGAGATGAAGCCGTGCCCGAAGCTTGTGCCTTCAAAATCAAGGTCGATGAGGTGATTTGAGCAGGAAGAAGAAGTTCTTAGCCAGTCCCATGGTTTTCGTTGGGACAAGCTAAGACCGTTTAGTGAGGTCGCTAATGAAGGCGAGTCTGGGAGAAATTTTTCAGCGTGGCCGTCACGAGGTGTACATGACGTGTACCTATATAAAGTGTGAGATATGTGTATTAAAAGGTTAATAACTTAAAAATTAAAAATTTCACAACTTAGATACAAACATGTAGTGTATCATCCGTGTTTCCGTCATAACTAAAAATTTCTCGAGTCTGGACTAATCCCATTAAAACTAGTCCGGTTAGGAAACAAACAACAGACTACACTAACATTTAATCTAGTCTAATCTAGTGAAACCTAGTGAATGTCAAACAAACACAACGTCCTAGTTGATTAACTGTAAAATCTGAGATGGAAAACCTACTGCATGTTAAATGCTTTTGCTAACCTAGCTAGTTATTTCGTTCAATTTTTCTTTAAGCAAACGAGATGATAGTTTCAAAGACTTCACAATGCAATATGTAACAAGAAAACTATTTCATCGTAGTAGGACTAAGGGCTGGTTTGGTATTGTTGTGTTTTGAGAAAAAAAACTATTTTTGTTGTACTGTGAGAATAAGCAGTTGTGAAATAAAGTAGCAGAGTGTTTGGTAAACTTTTTTGTAAAAAGTGTTTTTTTAAAAAAAAAAAAGCAGTATTATAGTGTTTGATAAACTTTTATGTAAAACAGATGTGAAAAAAGCTGGTTTTTCAAAGCTGTATTTTGCAGCTTTGTGCTTTTGGCTTTTTTTTCATCAAAATCTATGAGAAAAAGCTAAAGCTGAATGTTTACCAAACATAAAAAATCTCTCAACTTTTTTTGATAGTCATTTTTTTCAGAATCACCTCAGTACCAAACTAGAGCTAAGTCATGGTACCTTCCTCTTCATTTATGTGTGGATCGGAAACATGAACTCCTTGTTTCTTCGCATAATTTATTTTGTTGTGTAAAAAACTGCCTTGGGAAATGACATAAATGGTCCAAAAAATAAATAAATTGTAAAAAACGTGACAGTTTATAAGATCATAGGCTCAGCCATGAAAATGGATGTGCTATCCACACACCCTAAATTACTTCTCACACACCCTTTGTTAATTTCTGTCCGTTAACCTTCTTCAATTCATCCAATCTGACGGTCGAAAATTAGAAGAGTGTGTGAGAAGTAAAATTGGGTGTGGATATCACACCCCCATGAAATTTCCAATCCCATTAATATGTATGGCAGGTTGCAACCTAACCAATCTCAATTTCTCAATTTAAGCCATTAGATCGAATAAATTTACAAAAAAAATAAAATCAAAGGCCATAAATTAAGGAGTATGTAAATAGCACCACTCATTATTTTTGGATGACTTATACCATGTTTGAATACGAAAAAAACTTAAAATTTTGACAAAGCCAGGATTTACAAATTGAATTGTACCAATTCCTTTATTTGGTCATAAAATAGAAATTTAGAATTTCTATGTGGAAAAAAATAACTTGAAATTTGAGACCTTTAATTTCTAAGTTAAAATTTCATGTATATAAGTGTCATTTCTAAATTTTTAAGAAAAAGGTTAAAATAAAAAAAATTTACATTCAAGTTTCATTGTTCTTTTAAGTTAATTAACTAAGAAAATTTAAAAATTTTAAAAAATAAAATTTCGTCATTCTTATGACCTTTATTTTAAATTTTTTTATAATATTATCCAGATATAATGTTATTATTTACAAGAGAAAATAAAAAGGAAAACTAATGAAAATGACTTGAAAACTTTGAGTTTTAAAGATAAGAATAAAATAAAAGGTAAAGTGAATAGTAACAGGATTAACTTTTTAATATAAAAATATGATTTTTCGTTAAAATGAACAGTACCGAAGATTTTTCGTTAAAACTCCCAAAATAAAAACTTGTGAATGGCCGACTTTTGTCTGGGTCATGTGGCCTGACCAGCGCCAAAGTTTCTCCCAAAAGTTGAGGAAAGAAAATGATTAGTTTTCAAAACCAAGGGTAATTTGGGCATCACAAGAAGTACCAAGTAATAAAGAATCAGAATTATTACAGAGACAATATCACAGAATTGATTTGGTCATTTCCGTATTGAATAGTGCCTGCATATTGAATAAGAATCCTCTTTACGAGGATTTAGAGATCAATCAATCGTGTTTATTTATCATATATCGTACGGTTATTTTTCATTAGGTACTATTTATATTCAATTTTATAATAATTTTTAATCAAACGATATACGATAAACGGACACAATTGATTGATCTTCCAGATATCAACAAAAAGAATCCAAAGAGATCCTATTCCCTGCATATTAGCCTGCATGATTAAAATGGTCAATGGGTGCCACGTTTGATGGGTGGGGGCAACTCAGTCATTGCAGCTACGTTGTTTACGCAACGACCACCGAATTCCGAAACCGAACCCCCAAGAGGGCAAGAGACAATAACCAAAGCTGACCTACAAATGGGCCAACTTATTATCCTCTCGGCTCTATCTGCAGCTGTTGATGTCACTCCTACTGATAAATATGATCATTTCAAATAAACAATTTTATTTCTAGACCTTGACTTATTTAATTTGTCTATCACGATGCCCTCGAGTTATTGCATTGTAGTTTGGATATTTAATTTGTCTATCGCGATGCCCTCGAGTTTTTGCATTGTAGTTTGGATCTCTCTTCTCATAATTCAATTGAACTATAATTTTTTAAGGTTTTTATGTTAAAATGATTCATAAGATTGTCATAACTTTTCAGTTTGATCCTTAAAATTTAAAATCGATAGAAATGATTATGAAATTGTTCACTGTCATTCATTTTGTAAAAAAATATCATTATGAAGAACCCACAAGTCCAATTGGAGGGGTGATTTGACAAATACCCTCATTTAATGTAAATTTTATACGGAATTACTAAAATAATTAACGGTGAATAATTTCATAAATCATTTCTATCAATTTTAAATCTTAAAGGCAAAAGGCATAGACTATTTTAGTTAAAAGGTCTTTTTTAATGCTAAAAGTTTGATTGATTTAAGTGTAGAATATTTGTTTGTACAAAAAAATATACTTTATTCTCATTATTCTATATACTTGAATACGATCGTATAACATGTAAATATATATGTACAATTATATACAACAAACTTGGGATGCAATAAACTATATTTTTCATATTTTAGTTACATTTACGTTTAATGGTAAGCTAAATTATTACTTGAATGTATATTTTGAATTAAGAATTCGAGTGATACAATGTCGTATTTTTATTAATATATGGTAGGTTATACCTTGCTGTCACTCGTATAATTACTAAGAAGAACATGTGTGAAGGGAACCAAATGAGCTGTGATGGACATTTTTAACCCACAACAACCAAAAATAACTGAAGAATCCCTAGCTTATGTGCACAATTAAAGTTTGATAATTGTTAATTGATAAAAAGAATGGATTATTGAGATTGACAGGCAAAAGCCACCACAATAAGTTAATTAATTCCAAAAATGAAACATAGATATATAATCCCGCCTTCATAAAACTCAGGAGAGAATTTCACCTTTCTCTTGTCACATATTTCTCAGCTCTGACTGCGCTAAGCAGATGCCTGCGCTTCCTGTGCCTGTGCCTGACAACTGATCAACCAGTAGCATCATCAGGGCGGAGCTCCGGCGGGGAAGCGGCCACCATGGCAGAAGTGGTTCGTGAAGGCAGGCAAGAATCCGAAACGACAGAGGTCTTGTCAAATTCAGTTCAAGAGGGAAACAAGGGTCACCGGAGCTTATATGGGGGAAACCGATGGCCTCGACAAGAAACAGTGGCGCTTCTGAAGATACGGTCTCAAATGGATGCCGCTTTTCGTGACTCAAGTCTCAAAGCTCCATTGTGGGAAGATGTTTCAAGGTGAATTTATCTTCTCGATCGAAAAAGTACAAGCTAGCTAGTTTGTGTACTTGTTTAACCTTAATTATTCACCTGAGATCGATCGTCACTCATCTTCCTTTTTTTTTAATGTGTTTTGTTCTTTTCTTTTATAATTTGTTTTTGGGTTGCAAGTGAGGCCAGAGGGTTAGAGCTTTAGCCTTAGAGTCGGAGTAAATGTTCTTAATACTAAAGCTACAAACTTCTACAAATATTTCGATTTTTTTTTATCCATAAGAAGTTCATACGTACTTTTGCAGGCAATCTAGGTATAGCTAGTTTGGTTATTTGTTTTCGGATTAAAGGGTGGTTTTGTTAATTTTTAGGATTTGAATTTCGTATTTTACAAGGGTAATCTGTTTTCTTAAGTCTCCTGTATTTTTTTGTTAATTGATATTAAAAAAAAAAAAAAAAAAAAAGCAAATGATGACCCAAATTATGTACATGCCATAGTTTTAATCAGGAGGCTAAGGTAATTTAAAAATAAAAGGGTAGAAGTACCTTGCAAGGTGGAGATGAAACCAGATTTTGTTGCTTCCTTATGGAATTTTGATCTTATTATTTTAACCAATGTGTTCATATTCTTGTAAATATTCTTTTCCCAATTGTTACTGAGTTTACGAGATGATCCGACTTAATAAAAAATAAAATTACAGCAGTCCATGAGCTTTTTTCTATCTAATCTTTATTTTTAATCTCTGTAGAAAGCTAGATGAGCTTGGTTATTACCGAAGCGCTAAGAAATGCAGGGAGAAATTCGAGAATGTGTACAAGTACCACAGGAGAACCAAAGAAGGCCGGTCTAAAAAACAAGAAGGAAAAACTTATCGATTTTTCGATGAACTTGAAGCTTTCGATCATCAAAATCATCACCATTCATCAACAATAATACCAGCAAAACCTCAAGTAGTCCTGTGGCCAATCATGAACAATAACCATCCAAACAACCCTAGTCTTGTAGTTCCTCATGTCACCACTACTACTCTTCCTCTTTCTTCAACGCCAAGCATCATGGCCCCAACAAATGGTTCTCTTCCAAATTGTCCTCAAATTTCACCACCACACATTACAAAATCACCTCTCAATCTCTCTCAGCAAAATATTAATGGTTTCAAGCCGAACTCGGCAACAAACAATCTTTTTTTGAGCTCTACTTCCTCGTCTGCCTCTGATAAAGAGTTTCAAGTTCAACCCCGTGACAAGAGGAAAATGAAGTGGAAGTACTTCTTCAGAAGGCTGACCAAGGACGTGCTGGAGAAGCAAGA